GCACTCCTGGGCCACAGCAGAGAGCTGGACTGGAAGAGGAGCAACCGGGACAGAATCCAGCACCCTTACCAGGACTAGAACCCGGGGTGCCAGCGCCACAGGCGGAGGTTTAGCCTAGTGAGCCGAGGCGCCGGCCTCCCTTTCTCTTACCTTTGCTTCTGTCCTGCGTCTTCTCACCTTTTGTCCCTCCCCCCCACCTGCCTCTCTCTCCTCTCACACCCCACTTTCCCACCTCAAAACTTTTAAGAAGCAAAAGAGGCTTATGCGACCACACTCTGGAATTTACAAAATTTGAGAATTCACGTGAAGCTTTCTCCGCTCCTGGTAAGAGATAAATCCGGGGACAGAGACAAAGAGAGAGGTAGACAGAAGGCAGCATGAGTCTGTTGGATTTGGTTTGGGGTTTTTTTCCTCCTTCTCTCTCCCTACAAAGTGGAGGATCCGGCCGGGCCAGTTTGGATATTTATTAAGAAAAAGCCAAAGATAATTAACTTTTTTGTTTTTGTTTTGTTTGCGGGTGCCTCCCCTGCTGGCACTCCTGACTGCCTGGCAAATTAAACTGCTCCCTGCTCCCGGGCTCTGAGCTGCCGGCAAGTCTGCCGCTGGCTGCCCCGAATCGGCCGGGAGCCATCAGCTGCCCACCCAGCACCCCGCCTTGGGTTTCAGACCCCGGCTCACTTTATGCCACCACCGATGCCACCTCCCCAGGCCCTGCTGATCCCAAGAGCGCCCTTTAGAGCAGGGTAAGTCTAAGGCGGGGAGGTGGGAGAGGAGGGGCTGCTCTTTGGGGTTGTGGCCAGCGTTTCCCTAAAAGGAGATGGTGAAGGGATAGTGAGCCTCTCCCATGGGCAAGGGTCTTCTTTCTGGCCACTTCAGCGCTGTCGACGTCCTGGGAGAGTAAACAGAGCTGGAAGTGCAGGCAGAGGCCGGATTTGGGCCAAGTCGATCCTCAGCTCTTCTCCCAGGCAGCTGGCTGGTACACCGCCAGGACCCAGGGCCCCTGGGAAGGCCCCGGAGAACACCCTGGGCCACAGAACCAGCCCTTGGCGCCTGACTACCCTGAACTCCGTCAGTCCCGCTTCCACCTCCCACCCAGTGGAGTGGCTGGAGAGCCGGGGCTGGGGCGACACTGGCTCTCCTCAGGTCAGCTGCCCCAGAACTACAGAGCCCTGAGGCCACACTGTGACCTGAGCCCGAGCCAGTCTGCAGGTCAAGAGGGTGGCACCGAGTTAGAGACCTCCTGGTGGGATCCAGCCCAGCCAAAGTGAACAAGGCCAGGGTGGCCAGAGCTGCCCGGGCTTGGGGGTGTGGTCCGCCCCTCGCGTGCCAGGGCCCTCCCCTCTGTCCCCCAGCTTTGTCCCAGCCGGGCAGGTAGGCAGCGATTGCCAGGCCCTTCCAGGTGGGGCACCTGCTCCGGAGCTGGACACTCAGAAGAGGGCGTTTTTCAAGGATTTGCTGGCCCCCTTTTTTTTTCTCTGAAATATAAGGATGTGCAATTTTTTTGGTTTCAATTTAGCATTGGAGAATTTTATAATTTAGTAATTAAAATCTCTGATAGGCTTTAGAAATTGCGGCTAATTGAATTTAATGGGAAGATGATTTTCAATTTTATTTGATTACCGGGACCCCTGGCATCGGTATTTATGGGAAAAAAATGGGAAATGTGCTGTGTGGGCTAAGATGGCATAATTGAATTAGGGATAATCGGATTTCTCCGTCATGAATTTCACTATAATTTTCCTATAATTTTCCATTAGATATCTAGTTTACAAATATTCACAAAGAAATGAAGCTCTTTCGGAATGGAGATTGCTGGCTAACAGGATTACGGGGCCGAGCGTGCGGCTGTGCCAGCCCCTACACTGCCATAATGCAATCCCTGGGTCTGCCTTACACTTAGCCTGGCCTCAGCCCCTCGCCGCGCCACCCACTCTGCCGCGCCTTTCTGCCCTTTGTCTGCATCATCCTTGTTTGGCCCCTGCCCCGATACCCACTGGTCGGCGGCCCACGACCTCTCGGACCCTAACTGGCCGACGTGTCCATGCCCAGGCCACGGAGGGCCCTGCCCTCCTGCGCCCCCCATGGTTTCTGTCCACACTTGGTTCCTGCCCCAGTCTCCCCGACACCCTCCCTCCATCGGCCTGGGAGCGCGCTCACACGCAAACACACGGACTCCCTCGCAGGTGCGAACATGCAGGTTCACATGCACACGCAGTCCTTTGGCCGAGGCTCCTGTGCCCTGGCCCAGTCGCCTCCGAGGGAACCAGTTTATTGGGATCCTGGGGTGGGGTGCAGGAACAAAAGGAGCTTTGTTCAAGTTTATGTGAAAGTTACAAATTCAAAATGAGAGCAGATAAAGCAGGAGATACCTGGTGTGTAAACAGGCTGGTGAGTGAGAAGGCCCCAGGCTCGGGAGGAGAGAGAATGAGAGGGCACGCTGGGGGTGCCAGGGGACGGGAGCCAGCCGTGCAGCTTAAACCCGCGGCGGGGGAGTGGGCACCTTCCTCCATGCTGCTGCAGGGTGCCTGGGTGGGTGGGATGGCTCCGGAGGTTTCTGTTCTGCTTTCTGCCTTGGGGGTGGGGTGTCTAGGAGGAGCTGGGCAAGGTGTGTCCATCTGCTGAGTCTCAGGCACGGATGTCCTCACTGAGCCTGGCCTCTGGGTCTCAGAGGCGTCACCGTATCAGGGTTGCCAAGGCAGAGAATGGGCCAAGAAACACCCGAGTTCTAGGCTGCTGATATGGGCATATACCCTGGGGGGGGGAGGGAGACCTCCACACTCAGCCTCTGGCACCTGCCCCCCGCCCACCAGGCCTCAGTTTCCTCCAGCCTGACACGCCAGTGGGCCTCAGGTTCTGAGCTTCTCCAACCTGTTCACCACAGGCCCCTTGTTCTGGGGCAGAGCAGAGGCCTCCGGGCAGCCCCTCTTCCTCCCACGCTCCCTGTGCCTCCCCTCAGCTGTTCCTCACCTGCTTCGCCCCAGCGTCCTCCACGGCCCAGCCGGCTGGCTCTGCCCAGGGGACTGGGCCGGGGGACACGTTCCGGTTCCCCTCCCAGGCCCTGCACAGGGCTCGGGCCCTGACAACATCAGTAGAACCCAAAAGGACGTTCAGTGAGAGGCTCCCCAAAGATCACCTCTCCACCCCACATCTTCCTTCTACATCTTCTGCCCAGGTGGGGAGCAGAGGCTTCCGATGAAGTGTGGGATTGACAGCTACATCCGCAAGAGACAGAACCCTTGCTCCGGGCGGTCATGGGTGGCAGCACCCAGAGATCCCGAGTGGGGAGCAGAGCACGAGGCCCTGCCGGCTGCTCCTCTGGGCGGGCAGCTGTACTCCCAGGTGCAGCCTTTGGGCCACACGTGGCGCGGTTTGCTCACGGGGCTCTATTCCCGGATTCCGGGTTTAAGGGCTGAAGCTTTGCGGCTGCTGCTCCCACGGAAGGATGGGGATGGGCCTGAGGGGGGAGAGTTGTGTGACAGCGATGAGCGGGGGTCACCGTGGGCATCGGGGAAAGTGGCCAGATAGGACAGGGATGCGCCACTAAACCTGAGGCCACTTGGGGCTAAAGAGCCATCAGAAGAAAAAAACAGAAAGAAAAATAAAAGGAAAGTAGGAGAAAGAGTAGATTGTTAACTCCCTGACGTCTTTGCCCCAAGGCCTCCCTGGGCCCCTCCCTTTGCAAAATAGAAATATTGCAAAAATAGGCCACCGCCATTTTGCTGACTGCTGCCCAAAAGACCAAGGGGAGCCCGGGCCCTGGTCCCTGCCCTCATCATGGGGCCCCTCCTGAAACAGGAGTGCCGGTGGTAGGGACAGGGAGGGGGACAGCGGGGTGGGTCAAGAAGGGACAGAGGGAGCTGGGGACAGTGGGGAGCCAGGTCCTCCCTGAGCAAACGTGCCCGGGGCACTGCGTGCGCGGCCAGCCGTCTCCTTCCTTGAGCTTCTCCGAGCCCAGTGGGCAGCTCGGGCCACCAGCATTTCAGGAATATCTGCATACACGGCCGTCACGGGGCGTGTGGGACTGTGGGGGGGCCGTGGCCGGGACACCTGCCGCTTTCTCTGGGAGAAAAGGAGGAGCGCGGCGGGGACAGCGTGAGGGGTCCGGCCACGGGCTGGCCACGACCGGGGGTGTGGGGGGAGCAGGTGACCAGACCTTGGAGGGGGCGGTGTTCAGGGAGGGGGATGGCCCGAGCGACGGGCAGAGCCGGGGTGGTGGGCTCCGAGGAGAGGCTGCGTCCGGCCGCGGGGCGGGTGCGCGGCTGCGAGGCAGGGGCCGGGGCCCTGTGCCGCCGGGAGGCGCGCGGAGGGTGCGCAGAGCGCCGGGGCCCAGGTGCGGGGCGGACACCCCAGCGAGTGTCCCCGCGGGCCGGCGGCCCGACACCCCCGCCCCGCCCCGCCGCCTGCGACGCCTTTCTCCCTCGAGCTCAGAACAAAACGAGAGGATCCGGGTGTGGGGGGAGAACAAAACCCTCCTTCGGCTGCCCCAGGAGCCCCGAGTCGCGCGGACGGGCGCACGGGCACGCGCGGCCCCGAGACGCCTCGCACCTGCGCCCGCGCCCGCGCGCGGAAAAGTTTGCGCGGCCGCGCGGGGCGGCGGGTGTGGGGCGGGCGCGCGCGGCGGCGGCTGTCGGACCGCACGGCCGAGTGGAGCGTGCGAGCGCGCGTGCACGCGCCCCGCCCGCCTCCCCTCTCCGGTCCGCGCGCGCCCCTCTCCCGCCCGCCTCCCTCCTCTCCAAGTCCGAGGTCTGGGGAATCGCGGAGCCAATACGGCCGGCCGGCAGCCGGAGCCGGAGCGCTGAGGGCGCGCGCGTGCGCGCCGGCGCGGCCGAGCGCGAGCCCATTCACCTCAGCACCTCAGCGAGGCGGCGGCGGCGGCGCGCGGGCGGGCGGGCGGGCGGGCCGAGCTCTGATCTTTCACCTGCCGGGAGCCGGCGCGGGCCCGGCCGAGGAGGCGGCGCCGCGGCCGCCCTGCCAATCACCGCGGCGCCTGGCAGCGCCCGGGCCGCTCCCGCCCGCCCCGCTGCCTCCTGCCAAACTGTTAGCCTGAGTGTTACCGTCAGGAGCAATGACATCAGGGTTTTAAAACAACTTGTTATTCGGGGAGTAATCAGTTGCAATTAGGCATTAATTAAGTATTATGAAAGTTGATTATTTAAGTGAATTCGGCTTTCGACTCTCCGACTATGGTGAGTACCGGCGGCGGGGCGGGGGAGGGCCGGGGGGCCGCGGGGCGCTCGCGCGGCGACCCCGGCGGGGGCGCGGGGCGGGCCGGGGGCGCCCCTGGAGGCCTCCCGCGGGCCCCCCGGCCCGGTGCGCCCCCCGTCCCCCAGGCCGGGCCGGGGGGCGGCCGCGGCCGCCAAGAGTTTCTGTTTGAGTTGAATAAAGTCGGGAGCGGCGAGGAGCGTGAGAACGAGCGAGCGAGCGAGCGAGCGAGCGGGGCGCCCCGGGAAACTTTCGCCCGGCCGCCCTCGCCCTCGCCCTCGCCCGCCGCCCGCCGCCTCCGGGCCCTGCGCGGCCTCGCAGCCCCGGGCCGGGTCCGTCCTGCCGGGGCGGGGGTGGGGGGCGGCGGGGTGGGGGCCGGGGGCCCGCGAGAGACTAAACAGATTGTTGTTGTCTCCTCTCTCTCTCTCTCTCTCTCCCCCCCTCGCTCGCTCGCTCTCTTCCTGCGGCGTTCCTCGAAGAGTTTGGGACCAAGGAGAGGAGAATGGATCTTGGAACAGGTACGGGCCGGTGGGAACCCCGGGGAGGCTCTTTCACTTTTCTTTCGGTTCTTTTACGGAAGTTCTTATTTTTAGCCCAATGAGGTAGCGGCCGGGGCCGGGCCGGGGCCGGGGCCGGGCCGGGGCCGGGGCGGCGGCGGGGGTCGGGGTCGGGGCCGCGCGGGCCCGGGCCGCGGTGGCGTGTTCCCGGCTCGGGCCGGTGACTAACCCAGGCCTGTCATTGTGAGAGGGCCGGGGCCGGGGGCGCCCGCCGAGAGCGCCCAGGGGGTTTTTGAGGGTTTTTTTGTTGTCATTCTCCGTGTTTTGGGGCATGGCTCCGTGTGTTTTCTGGTGTGTGTGTGTGTGTGTGTGTGTGTGTGTCTCGGCCAGGATCTCCCTGTGTCTGGCTGTAGGGTGTGTGTTTTTATTTTTTTAGTGGGGGGTGGTTTAGTTTTTGAAAGCAGCGTCCTGTTGGGAAAGGTGGTTAGTCTGGTTTCGGGGCGACTGTCTCAAGGTAAAGGAATTTAATTTATTTGGGACAAGGCTGTGTCGGATGATCAAGCTGCTTATTACAGCTAATGAGTGTTTTTCACCTGAGAGCTGTGGGCTGAGGCGCTGTTATCAGTTCAAAGTGAGGGGCCCAGGACTCGTCTCCTCGTCTCCCCACGCTGGCGGTGGGGATGGGCCGCACTACTGAAAGTTAGGCAGGTGGGCCCGGGGCCTGCCTCGTGGTAGGACCAGGCCGGGCGCCCCACAGCTCGGTGCCGGCCGGGGGTGGTTTATCCTGGATTTGGGTGTTCCATTGGTTCTCGTCTAATCCTACTGTTCCTCTCCCCTTCCCGTGTGGGCTCCCAGCCTGAGTGAGGTTTGCCCCCCAAGTTCTCGGGGCTCTCGGTCGGCCTTCTCCACTGACCCCAGTCCCGGCAGGACCCCCATGTCCTACGTGGATAAAAGCAGCTGTCTCCTCCCTACATGTTTGAAAAGAATAAACAAGTTGATCTTTGATTGAGCCTGCTCTCGGAACCTTTCTGTTTCGTTTATAGGAGAGGTGGCAAGGGTGCTGTTAGGGCTGTTGTTTAGAGTAGGGCCAAGTTCACAGCATCGCCCCTGGGGACCCGGGAGCTGGCATTTGACCTTCTGAGTGCAGAGGGGAGTAGGCAGGAAGGCGGGGGACGGCTCTGGGGGACCCAAGGTGGGTGGCATGGAGGCCAGCTTCAAGCAGAGGCTGCGTGTTGCGGAGGAGGGGTCGTGGACCGGGGTCGTGGACCGTGTTTCACACTGTCCCACCAGGTGTGATCTTGACTGATGGGTGGTCTGGAGGGCCTCAGGACCTGTGTCCAGGAAGGGGGTGACGCCCCCTGCTGGGCAAAGTGTCGAAGGCATCTAAGGCCACCGCTGCCACCCTGCCCCTCCCTGCCTTGAACTCCCACAGAGAACCAGCCCGCCCCCACCTCCCATCAGGTGTCTCATCACCTCCCTTTCAGGCCCCACCCCCTTTCTTCAGAAACAGGGCCCCCACCCATCCCAGCCTAGGAGCAGGCCTTAGAGCTCCGGCACCGCCCCCTCTACCTGGCGCTGGCAGCCTCTGCTTGTGGGCGGGCACTTGGGCCCAGGCATTACTCAGCTGGCCGGCGGGCCCTCCTCATCTTCCTCCTGCTAGCCTGGTGCCAGCTGGAGGTGACGCCCATCCTCCTGCCGTCCCCCAGCCGGGCACTCCCTGTCGGCAGTGGGGGTACCACTCCAGAGCCCTTCTTCGGTGGGGGTCCCCTCTGGAGCAAGGGCCTCTGGGGCCTGCAGGAGATGGGTGACAGAGCCCCGTGTGGCCTTCCTCCTGAGTGTGAGGGACGCTTGCTTCGCCTAGCTCTCCAGGGACAGGCTCTGGAAACTTTTCCTAGAAGCCAGAAGGGCCCGTGAGGTCAGCCGGTCCCTCCTGCCGCTGGAGCTGGGCGCTCCCGCCGGGACCCAGGCCTGTGGCCGCTCTGGGAGAGGAGGCCCAAGGTGTCCTCGTTCAGTTTCCCGGAGGAGTCATCCGGTGATACTATCTCCACCTCTTCTTTGAACTTGGAAGTTTCACTTAATTAGTCTCAGAACTTCAGAAGAAAAGCACTTTTCCCCCACTTCACACAAAAAGGGAAGCAGATGGGGACTCGGATTCGCTCTGAGCCTGACTCTGCGCCTGCGCGCACTCATCTTCAGGACGCAGGTGCATCTCCTTTGGCCGTACAGGGGTCACTCCAGGGCCAAGCCAGGCCAGGCCAGGCCTCTGGCCTGCGAGGGTCTCTCTTCCTTTGGAGCCAGCACGGTTAGCTTCAGCTGAGGGCCTCTGTGGCACAGCACAAGGCTGGAGATGCAGGCCCCAAAGGGTTGCCAGCACCAGAAGCCCAACAGGCACCGGATCACGGGTTAACATCCTGCTGGCCCCAGTGCGCTGAGGTCCTGAGATGCTCCAGTCATAAGTAATTCAGCGGCTTCTCAGGAGGGGACAGCAGGACCTTGAGACCCTCAGGGGCCACGTGGACCCCTTTCCCCCCACCATAGTTCAGCCAAGGGCTGGATCAATCTGGACGTCTTTAGCAATAAAAAATGCCGATGTCGTCCTAATTCACCAGGCCCCGAGATGACAGCAAATTTACATTTTTTAATTAAACTAGCAGCCAGTTTTTATGAGAGGGGGTTGGGTTATGCAAATCAAATGGTTGTGTACGGAAGATTAGGAGAGTTTGGGAATAAATTCCACAAATGCTAATAAAAAAAAAAAAAGGAGAGAGAGAGAGGGAGGGAGGGAAGGAAGAGAGGAGGACATAGTTCCATTAGGCCCTTTTAGAGTGATTTCCCTAGGGGAGGGAGCGGGGGCGGGGGAGGGGAGGAGGGAGGAGGCTTCAGAGCAGGTAAATCCATCCCGCAGTTGGGAAGCTCCCCAGGATTAGCCCGCCCCCCAAAGGCTGACTGCTAGGCCCCGAACATGACTGGAAGCGGGTGTGGAAATGGCTGGGACGACAGGAGAGCTTTGAGGAAGAACTTGTCCTTGATCGTGGGGATCTGGTTGTAATTGCCCCTTCTCCCCAGGGGGAGCTTGCGAGGAAGGGGAGGGGCCGTCCCAGGCTAGAGCGGCCCAGCTGATGATCCAGGGTAGACTGGGCCAGGTACGGGGCCAAAGGAGTAAGTGGGCAGGCTCAGAGGGACGCTCAGAGACCCCAGGGGCCGGGGCTGAGTGGCAGCAGCCATGCTGTGGAGAAATCGGTGCCCCGCAGAAACCTCACACCCCAGGTTTCTGTGGGGAGACCAGGAAGCTGAGCTGCGGAGCCGTGTTAGCCGGGTTCTCGGGGTGGAGCCTCCCAACAAGCACGCACTTTGAGGGTGCGCAAGAGAAACAAGGCTGCCGACTTCTTCCAGGTGGTGGTATTTGACCCAGGGCTTCCCCCTCTCCACCCCAGGGTCCTCTGTGTCAGGCCACCTCCAGACTCCCAGAACTACTTTGAGCCGCTGGTTCAAGGCCAGTGCTTTGCCGAGAGCAGAGGTTTCTAGGAACCTTGCTAGCTCTGGTTTCGCCCTCGACCCAGCATGCACTGGGAATTGAGAAGGGTCTTGAGCTGTTTCTGGAGGAAGTGGTCCCCTGCCGGGTTTGGGGTAGAGCAGCTTGCCCTCAATTTTCCTTCCTCCAGCCTATACTTGGCCAGATACACCCACTCAACCAGTCTAAGCCGGGGCCAGCCCCTGCAGTCAGGTTGGGCACCGGTTTTGCCAGTCTGCTGCTGTGGGGGTTAGGTGCACTGGTGCCATCTTGGCAGGAAGGAGCTGTCAGAGCTAAGGACAGAATGGGCCGTCTCGGAAACTGTGAGTTTCCTGGTACCATTCAAACAGAGGTTGGCTGGCCACCCGGCAGGGACATTTGGAGAGGCCTGGGCATCAGATGACCTTTAAGGTCTTTGACTCGCTGGCTCCCAACTTGATTTTGTTCCGTGCGGCCGTCTTGGAGGGAAGTGAACAAGGTGAAAAGTACACATGTGTGCTCCTCTGTGATAGAAGTGTTTGAGACAGGCAGCGCTGGGCTGTGAAGTGGCCCCCGAGCCGCTGGCTGTCAGATGTCAGAGCAAAACCCGGTGTGAGAGGCCCGGTGTAACCACCGTCTCTAACAGGAGGCAGGGCCAGCAAGGGCAGGCCTGGGCCCTGTGCCCCTGGTGGGGACCAGCCAGGGGACCCATCCACTCTCCTCTCCAAGAGGGACACGGGGCAGGGGGTGGGCAGGGTGAGACGTCTCTCTTGCCTTCCTCAGGGGTAATCCCCATCCCCCACAGCCAGGGCATTGGCCGAGTTGCAGCTTGCGTTTTTACGATGGAAAAATAAAATAAATGGAGGCACCTTTGGAGGGCTGAGTCACGGCAGCAGCATCTCCTCATTAAAGCCGCTGCCCCTGGCTCGAGTCCCTGCCCACTGCCCGGGCAGGGGATGGGGTGGGGCCGGGGAAGGCTCTTGGCCCAGCCTCCTCTCCTCCCTGGCCCCTGCCAGGTTAGCGGTGCGTTCCCAGCCTGCTCTGGCTGGCCCACCATTCTGAGAGGGCGCAGGCCAGTTCTCCACGCCGTCCCAGGCCTCCAGGCTTGTCCTTTCGCACTGTCCTCCCTGAGCTGGCTTTAAACCTTGACCACTCTGGCCGCCGTGCCCTCCATTGCCTCTTCCTCCTCCTCCCAGAAGGAAGGAGTGGCCCTATGCAGATGACCGCCGGGTGGTCGCTGGGGCAAGCAGCACCTGGCCGGGGTCGCTGGGCCGGGAGGAGCAGGAAGATCCTAGGGATGACGAGCAGGAAGAGGGTCGGTGGCCTGGGTACAGAGTCGCAGACGCTTCCCTGGGATGGCTTGTGAAAGGCTGCAACCTGGTGGCCCAGTGCCCAGCGCTCCGGCTCCCGGCCACCTCTGACCATCAGCAGGAAGGGCCCCGGGCAGGTGCTGAGGCTGCCGATCCAAGGGCAGCTCGCAGTGGCGCTGGGTAGAGAGCCTGCTCAGTGTCCCCAGGGTGGCAGGGTGTGC